TGATTCTGATTCATCAGGCAAGGAAACGCAGAACAAAACTGAATCTTCCCCCAACAGCTTACTCCAAAGTGGAACAAACCAGTTCTGCTTGTGATAAGGTGGTCTCTTTGGCAGGCTAAACAACATTAACACAAACTAGGAAGTTCCTGGAGAAACTTTGACAGGGACTGCCAGGCTGCTGCAGTATCTCTGGCTTCCATTTTGAATCAAAATGGCTCCAAGCGTTAATCAGCTCTAGAGATATGTCTGATGATTACTTTCTGTGAGTTTCAAACAAATCCAACAGTGAGTTTCAGTTAACTTCAGGTGACTTGACAGCAGCAGTTAGTGTGAGAAATGTTCTCATTCATTTTCTTTGTTGAAATACAGTGTCTTTGTTGGCAAAATATGAGTGTATCTTTGATCTGATCACGTTAATTAGCTAACTTATCTTGATCAGCATCTGATGCTTAAAAACATGTCTTGAGTTCCATCCAGATAGCTTAAACTTTGTTAGCATGCAAACTAGTATGCTAGGCTAACACTTTATTTTCTTACCAAACCTCTACAGGTGACCCACCTGACTCTGGGTAACAAGGTACTGATGTTATCTCATATGCTAACAGGTGATGCTAATGCTAAGCTAACTAGCCTATTAGGCTAACATCTTATTTTTCTGCCAAATCTCTACAGGTGACCCACCTGACCTCGGGTAAAAAGGTACTATTTCATATGCAAACAGGTAGTGCTAATGCTAAGCTAATAGTCCATTTTCACATGATGTCAGAACTTCCATTCTGACTGGACACAGCTGCACTTCTAGGTAACCACGGACCTGTCTGTAAACTTCACGGAATTTCATTCATTCAACCTTTATTTATAGAGATCAAATTACAAGATATAGCACAAGGTAAGGTTAACAAAAACAGTATTTAAGTGTTAGTTAGCTGTGGCAACGTTATCCATCATTATCAATTTACCATTCTGTAACTGTGTAAGGAAACAGCCTCCAATTGTAAAGTAAGCTAGCTAGCAGCTAACAGGTAGCAAACAGGTAGCTAAACTCTACACTGCTGCTGCCTGTCAGTGCTGTAACATTAAAATGTTTACTTTATCTATTAATGTAAAATCTCTGACATCTTCCAACACTGTTGTTTAGAATAGCATTTTAAATATTGAATTAAAAACTATATGTCAAACCATTTCCATGTTCTGATGATTAATAATTTCTCTTTTTACTTTATTCTTGTGTCCATCTTTCTCAGCAGCAGCAACTCAGCAAAGAGGACACCCTGAAGACCCTGAAGACTCTGAAGACCCTGAAGACCCAGGCTTGTCTGAGGATTTTAGCAGACAGGACCATGTGAAGGGTGAGGGAGTACCAGTCAATCGGGAGGTTCAATCAGCTGTGGGTCATCTGCTGCTGCCTAATATCAAATTACCAGGAGCCTCTTGATGTAAAAGGAGACAAATCAGTCTGGAACCTCCCAGCTCCTTAAAGTAACACTTCTTGGATGAACATTCATTACTGCAAGCAGCTGTGATGGAAATCTTTCCTTATACCTTATCTTTAAAAAAAATCTATTAATGAATTGATGTTGTGAAGAATTCTGTCAAAACTTGTTTAAATAGCTTGTCTTCAGTAATCTGCATATGTACATATTTTACATTTAAATTGCATCTGTTTGTATATTTTACACATCTGGTAATGTAGTACATGGAGGAGGGGAGGAAATGCTCAAATTAAAGCTTCTGTTTTGAACAATTAAACAAGGTTTGTGGCTTCTTCTTGCAAACATTCATTTAATAATTGTACTGAACACTGTACATGGAGCAATGTTGTGAAGAAACTATACATACATACATACATATACATATACATATACATATACATATATATATATATATATATATATATATAAATAATGTATATATAAATTATGTGTATTATTTATTAAATATATAAAATACTGTATATATATACAGGTCCTTCTCAAAAAATTAGCATATTGTGATAAAGGTCATTATTTTCCATAATGTAATGATAAAAATGAAACTTTCATATATTTCAGATTCATTGCACACCAACTGAAATATTTCAGGTCTTTAATTGTTTTAATACTGATGATTATGGCATACAGCTCATGAAAACCCAAAATGCCTGTCCCAAAAAATTAGCATATCATGAAAAGTTTCTCTAAACAAGCTATTAACCTAACCATCTGAATCAACGACGTAACTCTAAACACCTGCAAAAGATTCCTAAGGCTTTTAAAAACTCCCAGCCTTGTTCATTACTCAAAACCGCAATCATGGGTAAGACTGCCGACCTGACTGCTGTCCAGAAGGCCATCATTGACACCCTCAAGCAAGAGGGTAAGACACAGAAAGAAATTGCTGAACGAATAAGCTGTTCCCAGAGTGCTGTATCAAGGCACCTCAGTGGGAAGTCTGTGGGAAGGGAAAAGTGTGGCAGAAAACACTGCACAGCGAGAAGAGGTGACCGGACCCTGAGGAGGATTGTGGAGAAGGGCCGATTCCAGACCTTGGGGGACCTGCGGAAGCAGTGGACTGAGTCTGGAGTAGAAACATGCAGAGCCACCGTGCACAGGCGTGTGCAGGAAATGGGCTACAGGTGCCGCATTCCCCAGGTCAAGCCACTCTTGAACAAGATACTGTGTCAGAAGCATCTCGCCTGGGACTGCTGCTGAGTGGTCCAAAGTTATGTTCTCTGATTACAGTAAATTTTGCATTTCCTTTGAAAATCAAGGTCCCAGAGTCTGGAGGAAGAGAGGAGACACAGAATTCACATTGCTTGAGGTCCAGTGTCAAGTTTCCACAGTCACTGGGGTGTCATGTCAGCTGCTGGTGTTGGTGCACTGTGTTTTATCAAGCGCAGGGTCAATGCAGCTAGATATCAGGAGATTTTGGAGCACTTCATGCTTCCATCTGCTGAAAAGCTTTATGGAGATGAAGATTTCATTTTTCAGCACGACCTGGCACCTGCTCACAGTGCCAAAACCACTGGTAAATGGTTTACTGACCATGGTATTACTGTGCTCAATTGGCCTGCCAACTCTCCTGACCTGAACCCCATAGAGAACCTGTGGGATATTGTGAAGAGAAAGTTGAGAGACGCAAGACCCAACACTCTGGATGAGCTTAAGGCCGCTATCGAAGCATCCTGGGCCTCCATAACACCTCAGCAGTGCCACAGGCTGATTGCCTCCATGCCACGCCGCATTGAAGCAGTCATTCATGCAAAAGGATTCCCGACCAAGTATTGAGTGCATAACTGAACATGATTATTTGAAGGTTGGTGTTTTTTGTATTAAAAACACTTGTCTTT